TGATTAAATATAAACTTTTTATGTTGCCCGAATCTACAAATGTGTCTACGTGTGTTGGTCTGGCATCAATTGACTGAATGTGAGGATTAACTAGTTACTTTGGACTGCTTTATATTAATTAGATGAAAAGCTGTCTTAGATGACCTCACATATTTTAGTTCTCATCATCATCAGTTTGCATCAGCAGGTCAACTGCAGACAAAAGGCATCAGAAAAAGTTGTTTCGGCAGACGCCATGTTTATCATTGATGTCAGTGCCTGAAGAGAGGACACATGTTTGCCCTTGTGTGTTGGCAGAAAATAAAACATTGATTCTGCATGGAATGTGAATCGGGATACTAGTAAGGAGAGGTGGACAAATACTGGCACAGTAATACACCACATCAAACCACAGGCAGAGTGGCAACATAAGTGCACCGTAACTCAACAAATGTCAGAAAATCCAACAACTTCTATTGCACGCTAACATTATTTTTGCCTCTGGACATAATATAAACATGACTACAACATAAGCACAGACTGCATCCAGTACATCCAGAATAGTATACTTCATAGACTACAGTTTTAAGAAGTCACAGTGGAAATGATCACAAAGGCAATGCAGGGATGCAGAATACTGTTGATATGGAGAAAACTGCTGCTGATCCCTCCTCGCACCTTCTAATGGTCAGTGCTTCTTCCTCTACAGCCCTATAGATGCACACGGACCATCTGGATATTGTTTCTCCTGAAAACAGCATCACTAGTTACAGTAATTCATATGTTTATAAATAACATTAAAAACAAAGTTAGAATATGGTAGCTACCAAAAAACCCACACCATAGCTAAAAATAAACAGACTCAAATAAATACTTTGAAAACAGGGGAGCCATTTACATCCTAGTCATATTATTCCTACAATAGACTGCAAGTAAAGATGGACGACATGTCTCCACTTCCACATACAATCCAGAAATGAATCCAAAGTATCCCTGATAGGAACACTACGATCGTGGGGTGGAGCCACGGTAGCGAGGTCCCATTGAAACCAAACTTGACCAATCACAAATCTGTGTCAATTGTAATTCATGACGTTTCAGCCCATTTTTATAGCATCAAATTAAAGAACAAATTAAATCCGAATTTACTGATAAAAGACAAACATTTCAACATATAAGTAAATAAGAACTCAGGTGATAGAAATCATCTTTCAGAAAATGTTATTTAATAATAATTTTGACCTTTTAGTTTAATCCATGTCCCATCATTTAATATAGAGGATGCAGAATTTATGACCTATACTGCAGTCAACCACCAGGTGACGATAGAGACGCTTTGGCTTCACTTTAGGCGAGCTGCCATGTCGTCCATCTTTATATACAGTCTGATTCCTGTGTACAAATAACTGCAGCCCTGGGAAACTCGCTAGGCAGCAGAGAAAGAGTCAGTTCATCAGCCCTACAGCATATCTGATTGGATGGCGTGCCAGCGAGCCGTTTCTATTTGCCCCCGACTGCACATCTCCTTCCAGTGTCCCTGTCCCGCCTCTGAAGCATCACTGCCAATCAGCACACAACCCAAAATGCTGCTCTTAGTGTAGAGACGGCCCTGTAGATACAGAGATAACTGCATTAAAAACAACAGAAATAAGGAGATATTCATTTGCAGCATATTAACACAGAGGATGTTGATGGTCGTACCTGCATGATAATGAATTCAAGGATCAATGGCAACTGAGTGATGTCACCAGGGGGCAGATCAAACAGAAACGGAGCGTTCCACACAGGGTTTGGACCACTGACTCCTTTAGTCTCCTTGGTAGCAACGACTTTGCCATCCTGACGCAGGTTGATGACAACGTAGTGGTCTGTGGAAAGCAATCACATACACAGTCATGATATTATCTATTTATATTGGTTGTCTTTTCTTTTTAGGAAATAAAAGGTCTACACATGTTGATTTAAACCCTCGTTAACCTCTCTGAAACCATGTCCACCATCACTGTTCTAAATCAGCATCATCACTTGCAAAATATAATTTCCCCTGTAAATCCTTCTTGCATGTTAATTGGATTTGCTGAAAAAAACAAAAAAAAACAATGCCTCACTGTCAGATAAGAATCACACCTCTGCAGAGAGCATTCATTTTCACAAAAAACATTGAAATTCACAAGCAACACTCAACTGACCACATCTCAAAGTGTCTCAAAGTGTCAGGTCAGGAGTGTGAAACTAAATCATCACAGTTGCTTTGTTTTTGCAGGAGCTCCTGTTTCCTCCTGTCTTCAGCAGCATCATCACGGCTGAGCCTCAAATCAGATGCGGTGAGATGTGATGCAGACAGGAGGGGAAATGACACTGGGCTGATCAGATCCTAATCTGATTACACTACAAACCAATCATGGATCTGAGTGATTGTGGCTGGAGAAACAGAGGAGAATACAGATAGGGGCACTACGAGCTGTTTACAAGTTTTTATGTGCATTGCAACTTAAAGTACAAGGTTACTCATCTTAAGTATAATAACTAATGCTAATACAATATATATTGATACATTAAAATAAACAGCATTCTAATATGATATTGAATCTGTTAGAGAAGAAAAAGTGAAGTTAAAGAACTCGTAACTGCTAGATGTGGTATAATGTGCCCTCTTGTGGTAGTATGAATAATGAAAGTTCTTTCTCAGACAAGCAAACTCTTCAGCTTCAATTTTGTTTTTTAGAAAAAGACGTTTGACGTCACAAACGCATTGATAATGGAGGTACTCTCACCTCGCTGTGTGCCAAAATGCAGAGTCATTTGACCCTGGAGTTAATGCTTATTGTATTCAATCCCATTGCAGACAAAATCCAGATGTTCTTGGGTGTTAGTGGTTTTTTTCATTGGAAGAAAAGGTGTCCAACTTTCACACCCCATCTGCTTCCAATAGTCAACATTGGTTCTTTCTCAACCATGACCACAATCTTCCCATAACCATATCAGAGTAATTATAGCCACTTAAATGTAACCATACACTCACAACAGAGGAGGAACCATTTAAACCTAATGTGCCATTTAAATCTGAGGTATTGTCCAGCAGGTTATCTTGTGGGTGAATCAGATCTGAAAACACATAAGAGCCTATTTTATTGCGTATGAGGTCTTCACCTGGAGCTCCTGGGATCCGTGTGAGCTTGGCCAGATTCTCAGCCTTTCGGACCATCACCTTGATGCGCTGGGCCAGCGTCTGGTACTGCAGCAGGATGAACAGTTGGCCCAAAGCCCGCGGCACACACACCGAGCTCTTCCTGTGGCCCAACGCTTCTAGAGAACTCACACTCTGAGGGTGGGAAGATAACAAAACAGTTACAGAAAATGTGAGAGATTTGGCAAACGAGGGGGATGTCTTCTTCACCCAGCAGCTGTTCCCTTCATCCAGTGGGTAAAAGAACAAGAGAACAGAACATATAGAGACTGTAAGTGCTCTATGTTTTTATGGTTCTGTAAATTATCCTCATCTGAAGAATTTTTCCATATATCCCTCCAATATAATCTGTTTTTAATCATGAGGTATCTTGGTTAGCCTGCTGGATTTAATCTGCATCACATTTTCAAATACTTACAGCTGATTCGTCATCATTGTCGCTGATGTGACCACCCATCCTAAAATAATAGACATTTATGCAGGAAGGCACATAAAGGTAATCACTAATAGTACTTTCTGATTTCATGTCAGTTCTCATTAGCTTGCATTGTTTGGGGTGCGGTGAGTCACTGTCTGTCAACTGGCTGAGTGTCGGCCCGCCGGCGACTCTGTAAGGCCCGGGCAGCAGAGTGTGAAGGCGATTTCACCCAACAAGTGAGTTTCGCTTCACTGACTGTCTGTCACTTGCTCTTCGCCTCAGAGACCATCACTCACACACTGCCTTTTAAAGGAGGAGATGTTCATCTGGGAACACACACACACACACACACACACACACACACACACATACACACATCTCTAAACAAACCTTGAAGCTGCAGATAGAGATTTGTTTTTCAGGAAAGTTTGAAGTTGAACGATTATCTATCACAGGGGTTCCGAAACCTATTACATGCCATGGCCCCCCAAACAGCATTAGCTTCTGGCCGGGGACCCCCTTTACAAACCCACAGACAATGCTACAAAATATGTAAAGAAACATCAACTCTTAGAATGTTTCTTCTTATGTCATGAATGATGTTTCGACTGGTAGGCAATCAGAAAGATGAGCATGGCAAATAACATTTCGATATGATATACTGTATTACTATAAATTATATTTTACAATTATAATTTAAAAAAAATATTAGATTATAATTTATGATAATGATTAAAAAAATAATTGGATTCTATTTTTTCATTTTTGCGTTTTTTTTTCTTATCTTCCCTCCAATTTCCTGAAAAACACTGATCTATCAAACTTGCCTGAGTTTCGAGTTGGTGCTGCTGACGTTCAGGTTGCTTATAGAAGCTTCCCAAAAATGATATGGTTTAGGTCTTTTTTGTATGCATTGTCTTATTTAAGGGGCCTCTCTAACTAAGGATTGCAGTAGAGTGAAGATTGTCACAGACGTATGTGCAGTGTCTCTCTCCCTGTTATGTACATGGTGCATTGAGAGACAAAGAATATTTTCTTCATTTAGGTTGAAATCTGTCTTAATGTTGGGAAGGCAGCACTCAATGATGCAAAATATAAAAATGCATTCAAGCAACAAGTCTTTTTTGAAAATGTAAGGATGAGAAAGTACTCGTTTAAAATGTATGAGTAAAAGTTAAAAAGTCATCAGAATAATAAATACTCCAGTACTGATACCTTAAAAATATACTTTACAAGTACTTCCCACCTCTGAGTATTTGTAGACCACCAAGGCTGAATTAGTAAACCAGATAACAACTGTAGGAAGGTACATAATATCTACTGTTTCTGAGACAGACAACATCACTGGTTTGGTGAGATGAGCCAAGGTTTAGATATATTTTTCCAAAACAGCCACATGAAGAGTAATGGTATGTGGCCACTCTAACGTGGGGGGATTATAATACTCCTTTTTTGCAAGACAGCTCAGATTTGGTGCACACATTTAACATTTAAGAAATTACATCCTTTTTGACCTCCTTTGAGGAGAAGGTACACCTTTAGACATTTAGTCACTGCTTTCTCTTCTCATACTGTGCACTAGTGTTTTGTGGGAAGCAGCAGAAATGGTGATTTGATATGAATTATTAAAATGAGAAACGTCACATATTTAAAAATTCTAAACCTGACACAGAACTGTGATGCATCACTATAGGGCTTCAAGATTTGAGACTATTACATGGCACAGTATCTCGCTGTTCAACAAAGACATTCTTCTTTACATAACTGTAGACGTATGTTCTGCTGTTATTATCTAGTAACCCTGTTCACTCTAGATATCTTGGGTGACATAACTGGACCCAGCAGACTGATTATGAGTCATCTAGTAATCTCCACAGGGGAAATAATTATAATGCTGACAAAGTTCTCCCTGAGGTTTTACTTCATTTAACCTTCATTTACGTAGGAATCAGCTGCTCAATATACTGCTGCTCTATTCTTATGCTCACAGTCTATCAGGCACTGCAGCAGCTAAGCAGCTTAGCATACAGTGGCATAATGCATCCATTCAAATGTCCCTTTCAGACTTTCTCCGGATGGAAACCTTTCAGTCACAGAAATAATAACTTCAAGGTTACTGCCTCCTGCTTACAAAACAGTGAAATAGTGATGTTGACTGAAACCTATGTTATAAACTCAAACATAAACTTATCAGTCCTATATGTCAAGGCCTTCACTAGATCCAGAATTGTATTTGGATCTGCACCAAATTGCACGCACTCATAAATATCAGTCTCCACCTGACATTTTCCGATCAAGACCCATTAATTACTAATGTCCTATTTCACAATGTTAAAGAGAGTGAAACTCAATTCCTGTATACGCCCCCTGATCCAGATCAGTACCAAATGTAATGAGTTCTTTCCTGACCCACACATCCTTCCATCAGGTTTCATGGAAATTCATCCAGTTTGTATGTAATCCTGCTAACTAACTATCAGACAAACAAATGCAGATGAAAAAAAACATAACCTATGATAACACAAGTCTACACTGATTCACCTTTTCCTCGTTCTATTGCCAGTGTAGATGGATTAAAGATTTTACTGTAATTAATATTTTTCTGTATTCCAAATGTTAATCACATGATCTTTGGCTCATAATAAAAGCTGAAGTTGGTGGACACTTTAATGCCGACCATCCTGGCATTCAATAACAGTGAGCTCGTGCTCCAGCTCCTCTAGAACTGAGACTGCAGTAATGCCAACCCCCCTGTTCCCATGAAATACTGAAATGATGCACAACACTCCAGCTGGACCATTGACACAGATTATCAGACCTGGTGTTTCACTATGAGTCCAGGAAGTGGCTATATTAAAAGATGCAGTCACTACTGCACAGCCTCATTACACTCACCCACTCTTCAAACTATTATCCAGATTGCTAAACAACCCGCACGCTTTCACGGCAAACCTCCTGCTCCACGGTTACACATTCTCTCTGAGGTCATTGAGGATGAGGAAGGTGATGCTGTGTGTGTGTGTGTGTGTGTGTGTTTGTGTGTGTATGGAAGGTAGGGAACATAGGGGTAGAGGTGAGTGCACTGCACACAAATTTTCCCGTTCCTGTAAAATGGTAGACATACTTCTGGCCCTCTCACCAAGCCACCACCATGACTGACTGACCAATGTCCAGTGAAACATCAGGACCCCCTCCCATTAAAAGCCTGTTATTAACGCCCTCTGGCAGTGTTTCAATAGAGCTGCAGAGGGCACTGCGTGGGCACGCTGCCAATTCGCTGCACTCTGCTTGTTTGCTCTGCAGCTGCTAACAACCATGTCGCCATGAAAAACATCAGTGGAAAAGTGGCTAATGGGAGAACTGATTAGATGCTACATTCCTTCATGGATAAAGCATGATTATGTGCTATTTATAGTCCTCCGTGTGTAGTTTATCTATCTGTTAAATCAACTGAAAATGTCAACTTTGTTCAAAAGAGTTTTGAAAGAAATAATATAGTACATACATTAAGAACAGGGAGAGCGGTCAGTCACCCAGAAGCGTAGTAATAGGAGTAATAATCCCAATGACCCACCATGACACACAGAAAGTCCACAGTGCTTTAGTTTATACTTAAGGGCCGCATGGAGAACTCAAGGACCTCACCCAGCATGTCCATGTCTTAGTTCTTTGTTTTGTGTTTGGGTCTGACTTTGATTTGACCATCAAGGATAAAGCTGTGTAGCAGTTTGAGTTTCAACCCATGCTAACAATCTGTGTCTAGCCATCGCTGTAATGAATCCAAACTGATTACAAGTTCTCCATTTACTTTGGTCAGCTATATTTAATCAATGAGGTTTTGGTGTAGATCTGGTTATGGACCAAGTTCTCTGTTGGTTTTTTGATGTCACCTCTTCTGACTGTGCTGACACTGCACAGGTTTGACAGCCCAGTTGCTGATGGGGTGAGTATGGATTAGAGGACCCTCCTCCTGAAATCTGTTTGAATTGTTTTTCATTGACCTTTTGATTGTTTGCTTATTCCATGCATTTTTTTAAGACGTTTGTCAAATCGTTAAATAAAATCACCATGTTACCTTTTTCAACTTGCTTTTAGTCGGGCTGAGCTGCTTGGTGTGAGTGGTGGTGACATCAGGCTCCCAGTCCATCTGCTCACAGGGCAGCTCCACCACCCCCAGTGCAGCCTCTCTTAGGCCTGAGAAGTCCCTGCTGTAGACGGCCAGTCTCAGGGTGCAGGTGCGCAGCTCCTCTACAGAGCCCACCTGCAGCACAAAGCTCTGACTGTGAAGGTCTGGGCTGAGGCTGCGGCGCCGAGAGGCAGTCTGCTGAGGGGAGGGGCAGAGGGGGGGAAGGCTGGTTCGAACAAACACCCCACTACGTCTTCGACTGGCCCCTGAAAGCCCCAGGATGTTGACGACCAGGGTGCCGCAGGCGGAGGAGAAGAGCAGGGAGAAGTGCAGGAGGGGAGCCGGCTTTGTGGGGATGGAGAGAGAGTTAGAGCCGTACTGTGATAGACAGGGCTGTGCCTGCAGGGTGGGGGCTGCGGCAGCACCAGCAGTCAGTCGAGTGCTCTCGCTGTAAAGAAAACTTTCACTGCTCACTGTGCTTCGCCGACCCTTCGCTCGACAAGATTTGGACACCAGACTCAGCTTAGTGAGGGAGGGCAGAGAGGCTCTGCCATGACTCTGAGGTTTTCTGGGTAAGCAGGGAACAGCCGGGGAGCTGAGGCGCCGCATTGGGTAAGAGGATCCACGAGACGGCACCAGCTCAGTTGATCTGGTGGGGCTGGGGTCAAAGGGCAGAGCAGTGACGTCATCCTCAGAGGGAGAAGAGCTGCTCTTAGAGGAAGGAAACTCCAACACGTCTCCATCCAGCTCCTCATACTGCTGCTTAACAGGCTGCGTACACGGAGATGGAGTTAATGTTACAGTCACCCTCTCAGCAGGATGAGGAGACAGGTAAACTGCCTCCTTGTCTTCCGATGAAACACTCTTCCTCCTGCGACAGCAAAGGACGCAACCGAGAACCAGACAGTAGCAGAACACGGCCAGACCCACAGCCAGCAGGATCTGCAGGTGAACTATAGAGACAGAGCAAAACAAAGCAGTCAGGTCTGAAAACTGTGTCAGTGGGATGAGAGAGAATCTGTGATTGATGAGGAACTAAAGCGAAAAGAGAGATAAAGGTGGTCCAATCATCTCAAGCTGAGCAGAAAGATCTGAGGACATCTGACTCTAAACATTATCTTGTGGTGTCTACACTCTGTGTCCTTGATGAAATTAAAAAGGAAATGTCCTGGAGTCATAATCATAATTTTATAAATGACATTGTCAGAGTCATTGTTTTGATCCCAAGCAGGAGCAGAGAACATTAAGTGCATTCGTGTCAATTTCCTCGGTAATCAAATTGTGTGTGTGTGTGTGTGTGTGTGTGTGTGTGTGTGTGTGTTTGTCCCATTTTGTTCAAATATCCTGACATACTCCTAGTAATATTTAACTAACGTGAAATTGTTAATATAGTAAATACTACTTTTCTGCGTGAACTCATGACGGCGTTACAGAGAGTGAAGCTGTTGACGCTGGACCCTGATGCTCATGTAATCAGACATTAAGGGTGTGCTGAGATGACTCATCCATCACGCACACCGGAGGACAGTGGTGAAATCAAGGTCAGAGAGCTGTGAGCTTCAGCCTGTGACCTTAGTGAGGCACACAACCAGCAATTACAACCAAAATCATTTACTGATAAATGCTTGTTGTTTTGAGGTGTTTATACTATTCATCCATATATAGATAAAAATCCATCACTTAAAAGGGAGGAATGCTATGGTTTTACTCATTAATTAGCTTAAGCTATAGGAGAAGTCATCTGAGTGCATCACATCATTGATAGGAAGAGATGTATTTAATAAGCTAAACACTGAGGATGCAACATTAATAAAAGCCATATGTGAATCCCCACATCATCACCAGAGGCTCATCAGAGAGTGCATGCCCACTGCAGGAGGTGCATCCTTAAATGATTAGATCACTATCAAAGTGTTGGTGCTATGACAGTCAGTGCAGATCCACCTCAGCCTCCTTAAACAGTGTGTGCAGGAGCAGGATGTAGCTCAGCCTTCATTAACAGATGGAAGTACAGATGGGCTGACTGCTGCAGTGGATGTTAGAGGAGGAGGAGGAAAAAAGGGGGGGTCACTCTAAAATATGAGTCAGACTGACCAGCCAATGGACTCTGATGATCGCAGGCCAAATGAGGTAATGATGAAACATGAGCAGAGCAAATTCAGCATCGAACACCGAGGGAGGTGTCTGTTTTCTTGTAAACTTTAATCAAGCATGTGGTAATAACAACATGAGAGAACACACTGCAGTGCGGAGCTTATTCGAACCACTGGTTAAAATAATCAGTTTTGTTTGTTCGACACAAGTCTTGGTCCTTGTTCATACAAAGTTATCTAAAGCAAACCTTCCCTGTGAGCCGCAGCCTCTCTCCATACTTAATTAAAGCCTCACTTGTGCATGCTTCTTTAAGTGCCCCCTACCACTTTTACAGGATAAATTATAATTCCTTTATAAAAAATCTCTGCCAGGTACTAAGAGTAGATTTTTCTTCCTGCAGTAAAATGCAGGTGCAGGCTCCACAATAAAAGCAAATATTTTAAACCCCAAAAAATTAATAATGAGATCACAGAAGAAAACAAAAGGAGTAAAAGTAAGAAACACACAGGCACAAGAAGATTTAAGGCTTCCTACCTCCCAGAGTGTACTGCGACATGGCCCCTCACAGTTTGATATGTTGTGTGGAGTTGAGTCAGTGTGAGGGCTGTTTATGAGAGTGCTCCCCCTCCAGTGCGCAGGGACCTGAAGCCTTCCAGCCAATAGCTTCATCGGGTGACTGAGCTTTTGTTTCACAGTGGCAGGGAGGCAGAGAGGCTGCACTGCTCAGCAGCTCAACCTACCAGCGCTGCATGTGGAGCCCCGTCATTTTATTACTGTAATTAGGTCTACAGGTCCTCTATAAGAGTTATAGAAGATAAATGATGACACAACTGATGGACACCTCTCACAGGGTAATATGGTATATTTCATAAAATCAAATAATGAAATTAAATTATTTCTACGACAAATTTAAATTCAGGCAAATTAACAATGTTATACTTAATTGGTACGAGGGTCAAGAAGAACCTGCAAGGTGAGTGTCATGTGACAGACACTACAGATTAACTAATCTGGTGCCATGTTTACTAAAGTTGTTGCCAGCTGATTGCCATGTCTGTGAGAGCTGCCACAACATTATCTCAGAGTACACACGTAGGTTTGCATTGTGATGTCTGTGACGTAGGTGGTTGCTAAGAGGCAAAATACCACAATGTTGTTTCTGGTCACAGCAGCAACATCAGCTAAAGATTCATGTAATTGCTATAACAATCATCCTGCAGCCGCCACACAAATGGTGAATGCTCTTTATTTATGTAACACTTTTCTTGTCTTGATGACAACTCAAAGCCGACACACAGTTTTGCCATTCACACATTATAGCAACTGAGAGGTGACGCATACCCTGCATATGTTGTACATAGGCTACATACTCAGGCCTATATATACACACACACGCTTTATACATGATATTTGTCCTGTCAGAGTTTCATAATGATACTACAATTTTTACACTACATCTCTTATGATCTTTTGAATCATTGTATATTTGTAAAGCGGTGTGCAGCGTTCTTTGTTCCAAAATCAATCTACGAGTTTGAGTCATTTTGCACAATATCTAAAATCTCACCCAGGGCTTCAACGTTGCTGTGGGTTTTAACACGATAAACATATTTCAGTAGTAATAGTAAAATATATTTGTGTCTTTGTGTTATGTTTAATTCTGAACAAAGCTGCTGGAAGTCAGGCCCAAGTGTATGAGGGAAATAAATTGTGATGGTAACTATAAGACACAGAAAAACTTTAAGGGATGCCTAAATAAGCATTTAAAAATAAGTAAGTAATAATAAGTAACATGCAATACTTAAGTGTAAGGAAATATAACAAATATAGAAAAATAGAAATAGAATAAAAACAAATATATACAGTGTAAAAAAAGAAAGTGCAGTGTGAGAATATGTAGTGAATGGATTGCACATGAACCATTGTATTGCACAGACAGAATGAATAATGCAAAGTTAAGAGGGTTAAATCAGAACTAAAGTCGAGTCCATGCTGACCTGCCTGTAGGCTACATCTGACACTGACTCTTTTCCTCTGTTAAGCTTTTCATTTATAAAATGTGGAGTGTGGTTTACAGAGAGCTTTGGACTAAAACAACTCATTTTTTCTACTACAGCAAATCAGAGCCAGAGGTTTATACCATGAAACTGAAGAGCGGATCAACAATTTAGTGTGTTCAAGGTTATTCTGTTTGGGCTTTGCAAAAAAAAAACACTGATATGATTTCATATGAAGACTGTATGTATATTTTCTATAAAGCATAACACAAAAGGTTTTGAGAAATATAACAATATTCAAATTTAATTTTCAGTCATCTTTTTAATTTACATAAATGGCTTGGTACAAAATGTTGATACTGAATGTATCTTCAAATTTATTATTCACACACACACATATATATATATATATATATATATATATATATATGATATCCACAAATAGTAACTTAATCATGTTTTGTTGCTCATAATACACGATATGGAGCTCTTGCTGAAAAGCAGGGATTTAGGTATTTAACACAATGAGTTTACCTCATTATTTTTATTTGTCTATTAGCACCTGCAGAAGATTGGTTCTTGCCGTACACATGAACCAGGATCTCAAAGGAGCTTGAAGCTCAGTGGCAGACACTGCCAGGCACACGACAAGGTAGAGTTAAAGGAGAATTGATTCAAACACACTTACAGTCTTTTGGAGGTGGTTGGCGGGCACTGAAAACTTAAAAGTCACAGGCAGTAAAACTTGAGAAAAAGCTCAGCAGGAGGAACATGCAGAAAGAAACAGGACTGAACTGATGACCTGACAAACACAAAGGGAAACACAGGGGAGGCCACACAGGTGAAACACATGAGGACAGGTGCACACAAGACGGGGAAACAGGAAAACGAAAGGAAGTTAAGCAAGAGACATATGAAGAAAGAAATTTCAAAATAAAACAGGAAATTAAGAACTTCTGTAGACTGACACTTTTTTGCTTTGATGAGAAAATTGTAATGTTCGTGATTTCTTTTACAAGTATATATTATCGTCTGTATCTTAGGTTTCAGTGTTTCAGACTAATATTGATCCATTGTGTGGTGGAAATTTATCTCGAGGACTTTGGGTCTTTAATAGAGCTCTGCAGAGGGTTTCACACTAAGCATGAATGCTCAGAGTGGGCATATCAAGAAGCTTAAAGCGTGGAGTGGTTTTTGGTTGTACATTTATCCAATGCCTTTTTTTTAGTGTTCCTGTCCACAAGGACAGCCAATGCTGGTTTGCTTTTAACTTTGAAAACAAGGCCTACACATGCACACACCTTTATCAAGTCTACTGTGAGTCTCCATCATTATATAATTAGGCTCTCAGGAACAGTCTTGGACGTCGCCTCCTCACTCCGGGTTCAGCTCTTTTGCAGTATGTTGATGATCTACTCATTGCCAGTCCCACACAGGAGCAATGTGAAACAGATACGATCACTTTGCTGACACATCTGGTTCGCGAGGGCCATAAAGTCATTCTCAATAAACTGCAGTTTGTTCAACAAACTGTCACGTTTCTGGGTCATGTCATCAGCAAGGACAGCAAATCCCTGTCTGATATGCGTATAGAAGCTATTGTTAACACACCTAAGCCTGTGACTAAGAAACAACTAATGTCATTCATTGGTACATGTTCTTTTTGCAGGACGTTCATTCCTAGAAACTAGACAGACACCTTTTACTTTTTTACCATTAACTATCCAATGCAATGACTGTTGCTATGCACTTGGCAGATGTAACCTCAGAGTTCATGTGCTTTCTTGATGATGATCCTCTTGTTGACCGTGATCTTTGCAGTAGCAAACTTCTTCTTTCATGCAGAAGTAAGAGCAGACAGCTTCCTGTGTTAACCAGACTACCCTCTGCAGAGCTCTATGAAAGACCCAAAGATAATTCCAGTCTACTTCAGGTCATTTTTCTTATTTTCTTGGCCGCATTTCCATTTTCATCAACCTTATTTCCACCAACAACAAGAAAAAGATGAATTTAGCAACTGGGTAGTGAACATAGAGTTAGACTGAGAAGCTTAGGTTTTTTCAGCTTTAAATGGGAGATGAAATGACTTTAGCTCAACACCCTGTCATGTTCTTCAACCTGTAAAGGCAAAAAACTAAGTACAGCCTGTGAACATGACGTGAAATAACACCCTTGTTGGCAAACAGTGACTATACATGAAGCCTGGGCTGTGTTATGCTATAAATATGGCTGTCCTCGGGCCAAAAGGGCTCATATATCTATAAGACTTATGTCGCTCCAGATTACACCAAACACCACCCCGGGTCACTTTTGTGTAGGCGGGTCAGATATCCACTGGTTTGAATACAGATGAATGAGCCTCCATCAGTGGGTGGAGCTTCACAAAATACACAGCAAATTGAAGAAAGATTTCAGGGAGGCTTCTGGAGATTGACACCAGACCTCTGTATGTGTTGATATCTCAGAATAACTATGATGCTAAGAACAGGCTTGGGTTGTGTATACAGCCAAAGATCCCAGTGTCAGTGTCACACATTGATTTTGTGGCATCCATAATTATACATTCCCATTATATCAAGATTCATTTTGGGTGCAGAAAAGATCAAATCATATTTAATTCATAATAACCTGCTTTTGAAAGTATCATATTAAAGTTCTTCCTCTTGCCAAAGTTACATTATCTTTTTTTCCAGTGTAAAACTTCCTCCCTTCCCAGCCGGATGTTGGATCAGTGTCAGTGTTCATTCTTGGTAACACTGTTTTCAGAGCCACAGTTTGTTTGTTCAATCATTCTTCTGTTTGTTAAACTAGTTTAACTAGAATATCTGCTCCAACATGCAAATTATTTCTATAAAACACAAGCTACTTGTCAAGCTCTGACGAAACTGTGTTTCCAGTATTTCACACATTCTAGATTGTTGATTTTGCACAGTTGTTGTGTGTCAGAAGTAGAATTAGTTGTTGTACACTGTAGATCACATTTACAGTAGATATTTGCATTTGTCCTGAAAAGAAGCAGCTCAATAGATTGTCAGTAATATAAACTTTCCTCAGCTCTCCTCCCTCCAACACACACTGACATGGACTGTAATGCCAAATACTACTTTCATAATTTCTGTGGCCGCTAGACCAACAAAATGTAAGTATTCACATTGTGCACCGTATATATTTACATGGAGGGGGGGTCCTCTCTGTGGAGGCTGCCATGTTTTTACTATCGTCCAAACTGGACAAATTAAAACCTTTTGAGTTTACATGACAACTGTAGTTCACCACAGGTTCTCCTTCATGTTGGGGAGGGGAGGGTGAGATGAGGAGTATTCAGCTGCAACATGCCACTTCACCTCAAGATATCACTAAATTCTACACACTGAACCTTTAAATCACTATTGACCTATACACTGCCATCAGGGGCAATTTGAGGTTCAATGTCTTGCCAAGGGGTAGCCAGGGATCTGAACCACTGACCTTAGTGAGTGACGCGCTCTACCTTCATACCACTTGCATGTATTGAAGTGTCACTACCTTCCAATTTTCTGATGAAGAGGACCTGGATGAAGAGCCAGAACAGCAGCAGCACTATGATGCCTTTGATCATTCCCTTACAGAAGAAAGAGATGACCAGCTGCCACACAGGATGGTCGGGCTCTTCCTCCGCTGCACAAGACATCATCTACTGCAGGAAAATATCTGTAGGAAGGTCAAATGATCAAATCAAAAAGACAAACTGGTTTGTACAGATGAGGTACATATAGTTTGTAGTTTTGATTAGCTTAGAATATAAACTTTGGTTTTATAAATGTCAGCGTCTAAGATAAACATAAATAGAAAAACAACACTAAACAAGTGCATCATGGCCATACACTTCTCAATATCAAGTAATAATTATGTTAGTTAAGTTATTTAAAAATGACTACTCTCTGGATCCTTTACCTGGAGCCACAAACAACTGGACTCTGGCCCCATCACTCTTCATCTGTCAAATCCAAAATCTGAGAACAAGCAGACAAATGATCTGCAGGAATTAAGTCTCTCTGAAAATCTTGCACTTGCAGCCACAAAGGTTGAATGTGTTGAGCATCGTCACCCAGAGTCAGCATCCACTGCTGTGTTGGTCTGATTTAATCCTTTCAGTATGAGTAAGACTAGATAACTGATATAATACAATCCCTGTTGTTCTTGTCCATGGAGCGTCTTGAGAATTGGTGGACGCAGCTCTGTCACCTGCTCTGATTATTTACTGCAGTGGGCTTTCTGCACGTGTGCTGCAGCATCCACTGTGTCCCTGGACAACTTCCAGTCAGAGCTGCAGTGTGGTTCAGGCTGCTGGCTGAAAACACACACACACACACACACACACACACAGAAACATACTCATTAAGTTTTGGATAAATCTTGTCACAAGCTAGAGAGATATACCAACCACATATTTGATGTGAGCTGTCTTCAGAATTTAATAAGAATTGTATGATTCCTTTTCAAATGTTAAAGTGGTGACATAATTAATCTGCCATATTAAAAAAAACAGCATATTTACTGCTCTAAAAGTGCCTTTCCCCAATGAACCCATACTGCCCTCTGCTGGAGTCCGTGGTAGGGAGCAGAGCTTAGTGAAGTCAGTTTCAAAGGTTGATGGGTAGAATTTTGTGATATCTAGTGGTGAAGTTGCATGTTGCAGCTGAACACCCCTCACCTCACCCCTACCCTAAACATGAAAGAGACCTCGTGGTAGCCTTCAGTTGTCATAGAAACTCAAAAGGTGTTTAGTTTGTCCACTTTGGGCTCCTGTAAAAACATGGCAGGCTCCATAGAGAGGACCTGCTCCTGTATGTAAATATAATGTAAATATCTAAATATGGAGGGGCCATTATAAGGTAAAGAAAAAAACTATTCGTACAATTTAAATGAAACACTAGTGAAAACATCACTTGGATATGTTCGTATTCAATAGATCTCCTTCACCTCAATCTTACACACTGGACCTTTAAACACATCCAGTGAACAGTTACTGATTATTCCATATTTGTTTTACTTGGTTTATTATAGTTATCAGGATGGATGGCTGGACCATAATTATCATTATTGTCGTTGTTATTATAATTCTGTGTTAAATATTTGTATAACTATTATTAGTTTAAAGTCAGTGAAGAACAATTAAACCTGTCTTTATTGATAATATTGATTGTAAGTGAAATTGATTGTATTAGAAAGCATTTCGTCATTAAATAGCAAATAATCTGTATTTATAAAACAAGGTTTTATTGATGATCACTCAAGGCTTTACAGAGGGAACGTGAGCATTCGTGGGGGTGCGTCGACATTGCTTGTTGCAGTGTGTGAGAGCAACTCGTCAGTTCCTCTCAGCTCAGCTTCAACATGTTGCTCCTCTCATTTCTAACGTCGTCTTTTTTAATATTCTCATGTTTGGTCAACGAGACTGAAGCCAACGCAACGGTTTTACCGAGGATGGTGTTCACAGACAAAGGTATGGAGCTTTTTTTGGTTTTGTTTAGAAACGTAAAGGAGTTTTGACATCGCGATAACGTTAAGTTAGAGTCAGGAGAAAACACGGTGTGTTACTGTGTGTGAGGAATACCAGAAAGGGTTGTTTGTTTTCTCCTAGTGTCTTATTCACTGTCTTTAATTTGAATTTGAATTCCACTTTAAATGTGGCGGAGTCCTGGTTCAAGCTTATCCCAGAACAAGAAGGAATAAATTCAGTAAATTTTTACAATAAATTTTGTAAAAATTTTACAATAAATCTTTCTTGGATTAGTTTATAGTCTGTTTTACTGCAGTGGAATATGGAGCAGATATAAATTGTATAAATGATAAGGAAGTGGACTGTGAGAGTGAAGCAGAATAGGAAGCAGTTTACATCGGAAACATAGAAAATGAGTTTATCACTTTGATCCTTTGATATAAACATGCAGTGTTATAAAAACAGCAGACATAAAACAACTAAAACCAACTGCAAAACATATATATATATATATATATATATATATAACTATTTATATTCCAAACAGAAAAATTGTTTAAAACTGAATTTGAAAACTGGCTTAAAAGAAAGGACCACCTGGACACTAACATCAGGCTTTTAGGATTAAATACATTTTGGTTGTGTGCCCAAAGTATTTTTTTTTACAGGAAACAAATCTATTATAAACTATTCCTCAATCTTCTGAGTGCTGTTCCACTGGACGATGACTGGCGAGGCTCTTCTGCAGAGACTCTGACAGCAGTATTCATCTCAGTTTAATCTGCTAAGTGCTCCTCTGGCTGCATATTCTGTCTAATTATAGGGATTCCAGTTAAAAGGTTGCCTTTACCTGGAAACCATGCACCTGTACGGATTCTACTGGGAGAAAAGCCAGACTCTGTCACAGCGGCAGGACAAACACACATGTACACCTACGACTTCCAGCAGCCTCAGAAGGTAGTGAGCAAATGTGTTGCTACAGTGGTCTCTCTCTGTAACTCAGTGGAGTTACGGAGAAGCTAAATATTGTGCATTGACCAGATGCTGTAAATATGAATTGATATTAATGTGAATATTGTGCATTGAATAGATAAAGTAGCATAATTGACGTTCTTTGTGTGTATTTATGCTCATACATTCAAGCCTTTAACAGAATTTGCCAAAATAACCTTCCTAAGTGTTTTTTTTTCAAGATATCAGGGATGTAGATCTCAGCTTACGTTTGGAATTAAAAATTGATCATGTGCTTTAAAAGGTTGGTGACCAGTGCTTTACAGTAACATGGAGCAGAGTAATAGCCCCACTCTATTTCTCTTCCCAGGCTCCTGTAGGAAGGAAGGTGGTGTGGCAGGAGTGCGACAACAGTCCAGGAAAGGTGAGCAGTGTGACAGGACTTTAGAGCAAACAGATCAGAGCAGTCTGATCTGATAATATTTCAGTTATTCCTGATATTACAAATCCTCCCTATCCTTCAGGATTGCAGCTATAACATCACAGTGGTCCACGAGAGGCAGGAGGCTGACCAGGTGTTAGTGTGTGGAACCAACGGCAGAGAGACACTGTGCTGTGGCGTGGTAGGAGACAGCAGAGATTTAGTGGTGGTGTTGGTCCTCTGTTCTGTTTCATGTGGTCAGTCATTTTAAGGAAGGCATTTAATTTTTTTTTAGAATTTATCTGAAGAGTCACCTACATGCATCCCTTTAAATAAAATGAGGAACATAGAAAGAAGCATCAGGGCATTCACCATAAAGGAAGGTGAAGCATCTGTACTTGTGGGTGAGTTTTTTTATCCACACTGGATATTTTTAATCTGATGAGTCACATCTTGAAGTCTTAATTTATCTTTTCAGTAAATCTGTACTGCTGCTCTCTGCTTTACTGACCTTGCATTCACATGCTCCCCAGAAGTTCCCTTTTCCCAGAGTTGTGAAATAGGTTCAGTGTGTTTATGTGCTTTAAGGTCAGAATGTGCAAAATGGTAAATGGTTTGTATTGATATGGTTTTTCAGTAGAGTTTTACATTCACTTATCACACACACATTCAGACAGTGCATCCATGTGTAGCACTAATCTTGCCCAAGGACACTTAGGCATTTGTTCCCACTTGAGATGCTGCCCATGCACGTGAATTTTCCCATTGGTTTTCTTCCTCACTATCATTACTTATAATAAGTTTGCACTGCTGCTTCCTGCTCGATCCTACCAGCCTCTGGCATCAAACCCAGCAGACACTGGTGTCTGAGTTATTGTGAGCAGATTCTTCACAGTGATGCATCTGCCAGCAACTTCAAATGTGTAATTGTTGTTTTTGTTCTTTCCAGAATCAGCGGAAAGTGCCGACCTCTACATCACATACTCTGGATCGAAGGAGTATGTTGGTATCCACAAGTTTGGCAAAGACAGAGTCGGACCAGGGAACCATAATAAAGGTATCTGTATCGTGAATGATTTTCTCTTCATTTACATTTTTTACCTTCATGCTTTGGTTCATTCAGACATAAACTCAGGAAAATGTTCATTAAATTGGATCTGGAGTTTGCCTTTCACATTAGAAGAAAGCAGCAGGAGATTTTTTTGGGTGAAGCCTTGCCAGAAATTGTCTTGAGTTCAGTGCATGACTGAAAGAGCGTATGTCTCAAGGCTGTGGTAACAAATTATGACTTTGTCTTTATAGAGCAATACTATGTAGGTTTGATGCTCAGCAGACGAAGAGACGATCCTTTACAGGATAAAGTTTTTGCTTTCTACAAGGAGAAAAACAGAGATACTCACCTGCTCGATGACATGTGGATCCCGTACGTCACCCAGGTTTGCATGGTAAGGCCTTTAGGATTGGCTGACTTTCACATTTATATTAGTTAGATTGTAAAAACATTGGTAGATAGAAATGTGTGTCTTTTGAAAGGAGTGATTGATATAATTCTGCGTGTTCATTCCAGGCAGATATTGGTGGTCGCAAGAACAACCTGCAGTTCAAGTGGACGTCCCAGATGAGTGCCAGGCTCTTCTGCGGAGACACCAACACAAAACAGCATTTCTCTGAACTGGTAGATGTGGCTGTTGTGCACGCAGACCAGTGGCAGGATACCAGGGTTTATGGACTCTTCAGAAATGAATGGTAGGACTCCATTAACCCTCATGTGTATTAAAGCAAAGGCTGGAGGAAGATTGCAAGGTTTTACTCAAGTAATTAAAACACAAAGTACAATGTATAGTAAACACATCTGACCAGCATGCATCATGTTTACTGCTGCATCAATTCGAAAGCACTTGAGGATATGAAGTTAAAACCAGAATTTCTGGATTGTGCAAATATAACAGAAGAGTCATGTGTTACGTGTTTGCATAACTGCATTTAATCACTTCCTCGTGTCTCTCGTGATCTCAGTTTTTTTTTTGCTGTAGAAGTGTCAGAGTAAACCTGCTGACCTCTGTGTGTCTCTGCAGGCATATGACCGCTGTGTGTGTTTACACGATTCAAGATATTGACCACATCTTCCAAACCTCTCCATTTGAAGGCCAAAGCTCAGAAAACTCAAAGAACAGACCTAGGACGGTACGTGTCATTCAAATTGCACAGAGGTGAAGTATGACATTTACTCAGTCACAAACTACACCAAAGAACCACACTTGTGAAGGAGCATTTCTACATTTCTACTCAGGGTGTGAAAAGACTGCACTTCTGCAAGCACGAGGCTGAGACTGAACTTCCTTTCCTACGTGCTCACAACAGCTCAGCAACAATAAGATACTTACATGAGTTTATAGTTTTATATGTAATTCATATTCCTGTTCCTACAGGTCAAAGAGCATAGTCTGATTATGACTCACCTGGACATCCATCCATGATGTTTCTCAACCCAAAATTATAACTTCTTCATAGAGCCATCTTACATTACATAGTGTATGTCAATGGCACAAAATGCTGTGAAAACTCCAATTGGACATTACACTGCACTACAAGACGTATGTCTACATAATGCAGCACATCTTAACTTGATTATTGCTTATTCAGAGTATGATCTTATTTATCTTATTCAGACAATACAACTTAATTGTATAAATATTCTAATACTGGAGTCCCCGAAAACGTGTCCACTGTTACTGAAAGTGTTAAAATGCTGGCAGGCTTTGTGAACTTTCTGAATGCTCATTTAGGGTGCAACCGAAAACACTTGCTTTGTCTTTCTTCAGTGTGTTAGAGACAGCACCATGATGACTCACGAGACCCTGAACACGATCCACAAGACTTCAGAGATGGAGCAGTGGGTCCAACCTGTGAACAAGTCTGGTCCCCTGCTTTTTAATCACCACAACTACACCCACATCTACATTGACAGCTCCCTGGGCAAGAGGAACCATCCCTACACAGTTTTGTTTCTGACCCTAAGTGAGTAAATACAATAACAGGAATAGGGAAATTGACATTTGATGATGGTTACTAGCACATGTTACTTTAAATAGATGGTTGCACTGTGATGAAACATTTCACCAACCTTAAAGTTCAGCAGTAGCTGAGACAGAAGCCAGTATTGAGTAACTGCTTTGGGGAAAAAAACAATAGAAGTGATGTTCAGGGCTGGTGTTACTAAGGGGTCCAACCCAAACGTTTCCACAGCCCAGAGCTCAGCACAAAGTCAACTTTTTACACTGAATGCAAAGTAGCAATGAAGCACAATTATATGGAACAAGTTGACGTCAGTTTAACCACACCAAATGTCTCACATTTGAAGTTGTCTCTTCGTCCTCTGCTGACTTGGCTAACCTTGGCCTCTGAAACAACATAGTATGTGTTGAGCAGAACAAGAAGATGGTTTGGTTTTGGTTTTAGGTCTATTGTACTTTCCAAAGAAAATATCTAAATAAATATATGTGGACTTATGTCATGAGAGATTTAAGTAATTTCAAAACTTGACTGAGAGACTATTGCAGATGCTGTGACCGTAAATGACCAGACTATCATAACTCAGAGCATATCATTGTCCAAAGACGTCAGCACTGTGTGGTACTCAAGTGGAGTCATGCACGGAGTGCTGAGACCAAAGATCACAAGCAGCTGTTAGCAATGTCAGCTCTGTTGACGGTTAAGCACAGATGTGAGAGGACAACCAGGACAAGGTGGCGCCCCATTCATTTCTATGAAATAAGCTGTGTGCTCACACCCAAAAAAGTTATTTTAGCCTCCTGTTGGCTTCAGCATTTTTGGAGCATGTGCATTACAACCCCTTTCTGGCTGAGTGGGATGATTTCTTTTATTGAAGCAAATAAGCCCAATTATAATGATACAAAGATTTTAACACACTGAGAGAAAACAGCAAAAATGTTTTATGGGTAGACGTGTGTGAAAGCTGATATCAAATGTCACCTAAAGTCAGGCTGCTCTTCAATTACATTCTGTGACCTGAATACGGTAAATCACCAAACAACTTCCTCCTGTGAACGTCCAGCTCTCACTGACAGAACTGAACAGTTTCCCATATCAAGGAAGAAATGTGATACAGGACCTTTGTATAAATGATGTTAGCAAACAACCTATGGTAAATACCAACTCTCAGGACTGGTGGTGGTAAAGTTTTAATAGATCAGTCAAGTTAAGAGAATTAAAGATACTTTGCATGCACTGACATGTTTTAACTTTGCGTTTAGTGATTGCATCAGTATTTACTGAATGAAATGCTTATACATGTTTTAAAGAAGGAATGTTTTCCGCAGAAATACTCTCAACAGACGTTAGTGGAAGAGTCATGTCAGTGGAAATGACACATTAGTTGTGGTAGTGGGATGGTGTGTTCAGACAGGTGTGAACGTTGAGTCATTCCTCATGTGTCTAAACAGATAATGGACGGATTCACAAAGTGATACAGACTGGAAATGAGATATTCTTCATTGCTGAGTACCACCCCTTTAACCACAGAGCACACATCGGCGGCATCATCCTTCACCTCACCTCAGTGAGTAGTACCCCCCCCCACACACACACACACACACACACACACACACACACGAGGAGGAAAAGAGGAGGGAAACAGAAAACACCATGGAAACAGGCCGTGACAACCCAGCCCTATAACCAACTCTAACTTAAACAGCAGACAGAAGAGAACATTTCAGATTTTTTTGGATGATGTATGAAGGGTATTGGTCAGTAAAGACAGATTACAAGAAAGTGTGCTATGTGTGTGTCATTGCAGAGGAAGCTTTATGTCCACACCAGAAGTGAACTGGTCCAGCTGGATGTGGAAAACTGTGCCAAGTATGGAGACAACTGTAAGGAGTGTGTCTTAGCCAGAGACCCTTACTGCAGCTGGAACGACGACCACTGTTCCCCTGTGACGCAGTAAGACCACCAGGCTTTGTACCTTTAATCCCAAATCCAAATCCAAATGTGAAGGTTTTACATCTGATCAATGGAAAAGATTGAAACCAATATCAGGAATGAAATTATACAGCGACATGGGTTCCCTTTAATTCATACAAAGGTTTAACAGGACATGTTCTTGCCCCACAGTGTGTACACAGACCTTACAATCACTCACCTGTTGAATGTTATTTGTGCTCTGTCATCAGAGTTATGGTGTAAGTTTCCAATGTGGAGCAACTCTTAGGAGGATTGTGTAAATCGTGGCTCAACTAAAGCAAGACTCATTGAGTATGACGTTGTACAGTTTAGCAAACAAAAGTATCTTGTTTGCCACTTCAGTGAGAAAACATTTATATGCAAGGGAAGAATTTAAATACATTTTTGATAACAGTTTTTGAACCACAGTCTGATCATCTTCAGAACAAGAGATCTTTCTCAAATGAGAACTTTTTCTCCCTAAACATGGCAACTTAAATTTTCTTCTAATGTAGAGCACTTTGCTAGCGATGCCACACACAGTCACTGCCCCCACCCTACACAGAATAGCACACCTGCACTCACACTGTCTGGGATGTGGTTGATGAATCATAGATGGAAGCTTGACTCACAAATTCTTTATCGCAGCCCCCCGCAGGGGAGGAAATACTATCAGTAATGAGTAAGAGATCAGTGGGATGGCTGACTAAATTCAAATATCAATTTAGTCACACTGCAGCTGCACTACAACTCATTATAGTGAATTAAAGGTACAGTGTGTAGAATGTTGTGATATCTAGTGTTGAAATTGCATGTTGCAGCTGAACACCCCTCACCTCACCCTCTCCTTCCAAACATGAAAAAGAACCTGTGGTAGCTTCAGTTGTCATAAAAACTCAAAAGGTGTTTAGTTTGTCCAGTCTGGACTAATGTAAAAAACATGGCGGCCTCCATAGAGAGGGTCCCCTCCATGTAAATATAAAGTATTTGAATATAAAGGGCCTTTTCTGGGGTAAAGAAAACTACAATTCATACAATTTAGATGAAACAAACCAGTGAAAACATCATGAGGATTATTTTATATTAAATATCTGCCAATAGATCCCTTTCAACTAAATCTTACACACTGGACCTTTAACCTCACTAATACTAAAGTGTGTGAAGTGCTGCTTTAATATTTCACCATGCTGTTGTTTCACACACTGAGCAAGGAATGGGTGTAATACATTACAACACAGAGCTAGCACTGAGGTATTGGGTCTGTCATTTTGAAATGAAGAGCAAGTAATGAAACTGAGCTGACCTTCCCTTTAACATACATATAATATTCCATTTTATTATACGCTTAAATGTCTTGTGTGTAAAGCAAATCAAAGGTCAAGTGACGATAAACTTGAATTTGTTTTGGTCCTTTCTTTCTGCTCGAGGCAGCTTTACCGTAACACCCCAAATATCAATTGTCAGACTGCGGCTGGTGTGAGCAATTAGCATTAATGTTTTTCTCAGAGCATTAAAAAAATATGCAACAAAGTAGGTTAAAAACCTTACACAATGTTGTCATTACCCTGACTGTTGACTGACTTTACTAGTGTAGTTTATCATTTGTCCTCGGTGACAAGCAAAACGCCAGCAAAGACATGTGATCCCTCTCTCTCTCTCTCATTCAGAGTTGAGTTTCTAATTAAAGAACAGCTTATATGCCATATGTTTCATATGATGATGATGAAATGCCCTTTGGGTCTGTCCACACCCGAGCGTTGTGCAGACCATTTGTGATCAGGACCACAGGGCCCTGGTTTTCTAACACTCACAATGAGAAATCTTTAATGTCACTGGAAGATTTTTCTAAATAGATTTCTTTTCCTTTGGACAGAGATACACTGCAGGAGGAGGCCACAGGGAATCACAACATCTGCCCTGTTCGAACTCAAAAAGGTATGACCATATCAACCAGTTCACTGCATTAAGACCAACCAGTTTTACAACTAAAATACATGTTTCTGATCAAATTGCCAGGTTAATATTTTTCAATTGCTAGAGAACATCAGAAAATGGGCAACACACCTACAGCCTCAGCTGTTTAGCTTAGCAAGAAGGCTACAAACAGGTCCTGTCCAATGGTCTTTGTCCAGTCTTTACACTGGAGGAATAGGCATCATCCATCTTTATATATATGATCTATGATCAGCCCTCTTTTCTCTCCATGCTGATCATTGACACTGTTAAAACACTGGCTGACATTTTGACTTTTATTATTTACACGTGTATGGTTTTTCGACGGTTGTTCAGGTGAGAGTTAGTTTCCTCTTTGGCCTGCATGAATGTGTCAGATCTGCTGCAGAACTACTTGCAGTTCTGAAACCAGCTGCTTCCTTTCTGAAACTAGAGGCCCCTTTATTTTAGCAAGTATATATATATATATATATATTAAACGACTCACTGATGTGAAACAATCCAAAACTAAACCAGCAAGTTTTGTTCATTCACTTTTCTCCTGAAGACATTTTGTTAACAGCTGTTTTCCCCTGACTGCTTTCTTTCATGCTCTCCGCCACCTTCTCCCTTTTGGTTGCCTGGCTTCACCTTTTTACTTTCAAGAGTAGATTCTCTGAAATCTCTTCAGATTTCACAGCAGCACAGCAGTGACCATGCTGACAACAAAATTACTGTTTTTGTGAGAGTTAATAGTGGGTGTGGACTAAAAACATATGCCCCTTAAGGGTGGGGGGGCAGACTTCTTTTAGACCCAAAATAGTCCGTCAAACTATTGATTCAGTTCCTACTTCTACTTCTAACAACAATAATGACACCACCTACCTACATTGTAATACTGCAGATAGAAAAAGAAACAACTAACAGTTCCTCTATATATAAGATTGTCAAACATCAGAGCTATGTGCAGCTGTCCTGTGTTCGAAGAAATAAACTTTGTATGTGTAGAGAAGGTTTTTTGGGACTTGGCTATGGTTAATGGCAGCTCTATGCACACTCTGACAGTGGATTTGTCTCTGGAGGGTTAAAATGACACATAGGAGTAGACATCTGCACTGGTGTATCACAGATAAAAACACGCCAGTAGGAATTATCAGAATAGGCAAATGAATAGAGAGAGTGTTAATCAGATACACTTGTAAAACATGTGGGAAGTAGACTGATCATTACATGTTTAACTGCCCAAGTTGCTCAGTAGGAAAAGTGAAGCTGTAACACTGTCAGGTTTAGGAGTAGTGTCCAGTAAGTTTACTCTAACAATATCAATGTCATCCAAAACTGCATGTGGGTTTCAGACAATGGAAACAGTTGAATCTCCACCATTAACATGTGGCCATTTCTCAGAAGTGTGCATTATCTGCACTTCTACTTATCTTGTCCCTGTCATGTCACTTCCTAAATAACTGTCTGATGCTGCGGTTGCTCTTCACATTTTCTTATCAAGAGCTTCGACTTGCCTGTCAGAAAAACATTCAAACAACTACTGCTGGTAATTTCTTTCCTCCACCCAAACCAGTCCTCCTATGTCCCCATGTGCTGGTGATACAGTTCTCTATACCTGATTCAATATCGTATGATAAACCACTTGATGAAATTCATTTGTAAGATGCTGTATAATAGTCAAACACCACCTCCCTGTAGTTTGACTTACCTGACCTTACTGTGACCTGAAACAAAAACTGCCCTCCCTTACACACTTGCCACATCATCAGGTGCACAGCCTGTCTTGGGTTGATCTTCCTGGAACCTATCCTTTGCATCATGGAGGAGGATCCAGACACGTTGCCAACTGGCTTCCCGTGCTCTGGATACCTGCCTGTGTGAATAAAGTTTGATCAAACAAAACAAAACAAACATCCGTGTCCATGTAAATACACCTTGTATCTCTGTTCCCATGTTTTGCATATTCAGTTGATACACAACGACCTGGGAGCATGGACAGCATCGCACTTCCCCCCAATTCCAAGTATTTCCTTTCCTGTCCGGTGTCGTCTTATCATGCAGAGTATACCTGGCATCACGAGGGACAACCCAGGCCCTGCAGGTCAAAGGAGCAGGAGCACCTACTTCTCATCGACAACATGAGTCCAGAGCAGGTGGGAACTTACAAGTGTGTGTCAGAGGAGCTGGGCTTCACAAAGGTCGTGGTGCAGTACCACCTGCAGCTGAAGAGCAGGGCTGCGATTGGTCGATTATCAAGCCCTCTGGTCTGGGTTAGTCTGGTGGCTGCTCTGATAACCAGTTTGTCCAGTTAGTCCTGATCTGAGTCGAGGGAAAGGTAATAAATAATCATATAAAATTACAGCACAGCCATATGAAAATACATGGAGTGACTGGGCCTGCCACTGAAATGAAATTAACTTCCCCAATAATTATTTACTTCCAACAAAGGAAACCCTCCTTTACTAATAATGCTTTATGGACTATAATTTATAATATTTGAAATTAGCCCTAGCCTTCAAATGCACGTATTAAAAGGCTGTGAAGTAGAAAATGTTTTTAAAAGCTCAAACATTCTTCTTCTAGCATATCTGAACCCTTCTGTGTCTCTTGCCTTTATCTGCACATAAACAAAAGACTGTACACTTCACAATCTTTGATGGTACATGACAACAACAATCCCACTGATTGGTTTTCAGAAAACAAGCTGCTTTGTAGAAATGTTGTAAAACAGCACAGAGTTGCAACATATAGGCAACATGAAACATACTGAAAGTAGATTCATACAGCTAGAACAGAAACCACCAAAGTCTTGATTATTACAATTTGGTGTCAGTTTCCTTTTAATGTGAAATTATGCCTGCACTCTCCTACTTTGTGTTCTACCTCAGACCTGAAGTCACAGCAAACTGAGTTGTTCTCTGTCTTTCAAGGATCTTCTGTTAAACATAAACTGCTGTATTATATTATAGATTTATTTTACTTCTGCTGCTTCTATTGGTCTCAAATGCAGGAAGTTGTGGAGCTCTTTACATTTTGTGTTTTCATATAATATATGATAATATAATATATTTATGAACAGATGGTAACAAGATACATGTTTGATTCCTGGTTTTGTGTAAAAATGTAAATACATATCATCAAACTGATTAATGGCCTATTTGAACTTGATGAATGTTAATTGGAAAAACCTTAATAAAGCAATATATTTCTAAAACAAGCTGCACATGGAATTTTTTTTTATTTCAATTTCGCCTATTTTTTCGAAAAGCTTAGTCATAAGCTAATTACACAACTTAAGTATTTGAGCTTTGAATTTACCAGCAACAAGAAACCCAACCACTGTAGAGCACTCTTCACAGAAAAAGTAAGTTGCTTGTACATCAAAGGTCAAAGGCCTAACCCTGTTCTCTGAAACACAGAAAGGGAATTTTCAATACTTGCATTGGGACATTTTCTCTGCATGATTTACATGATGGTTTGGTTTTCAGTGTTGTGGATGAAGTGTGACTCATCAAAAATCCTGGTAATGTTCATGTGGAATAACCTGCATCACATTTCAAAGGCCAGGGGAAAAGATTGTATGCTTCAGCTGACTGGATATCCCCTTTAAATGTGAAACTGAGACAATATCTCTTGGAGATTCACTAAAATTCTGAACTTTGGGTCACATTAGCAAACACTGTTGGTGGTCGTCACTGATGTTTCCAAGAAAAAATAAACACACGGATATAAGATATAAAGTAAAACTTTATCATGACATACAAGTTTAAAGCCCTGAGAACCATATCTTTATATTACTAATATGAACAAAACTGAATGTGTGAAAACCACTTTGGAAAAGTGCTCCTCTTAAATACAATCAGCACAAACCAGTTTTTACAAGCATTCATGTATTTTGTCCTATTTTTTGTTTACTTTAATCAAAGAGAAAACTATAATATCAGTAATATCATTATTATCATTTCCATAATAATAACAGTACAAAAATATGCACAAACCCCACAGTTGAATTAATATACGGAGCATTGTACAAGCCAAAAAACAACAACATAAAATTGATAAATGAGGTATTCGATAACCACTTGCATATGCGCCTGTTTTTACACAGATCAGGTTAGTTCTTAAACAATTTAAAACTGAATTAACTCCAAAATCATCTGAGACAAGAGGTTCTGCAGACTTCCAACTTCACAGCTTCCTGAGTGACGAGACTTTGCCTGCAGTTACTGACAACAACAACGAAAAGAAAAGAAAAATCCAAAAACACCAAAAAACCAAAAGTAGCATTCGGCGAAGTGACTGCAGCCTCTGTCAGTACTCGTCCCCCCAAACGCAACAGTGAATACAGCCCACTGCCCTGAGGTATTGTGGTATAATGAGGTTGGATGGGGGGGGGGGTGTCTGTGACACACACACACACACACAGACACACACACACAGACACACACACACACACACATTCATCCACGCAGCAGGTCAGGTGGGAGGAGCCTGGACATTAGGGAGCTGATCAGACTGTTGGTAATAGAGGTGAAGAACAGACCTAGCTGTAGCTGTACTGGGCTGTTCCAGAGATCTCAGTAAATATTTTTACAACAAACTGCAATCGAGCCCCTCCTCTCTAAAGATATAACCATGACAGTAGCTCCACCTGCAGTATCCTTAATTGTATTATAAGTGCATGAAGGTAAGGCTCTCTACATGCTAAAACTGCAACCACAGTATGTACTGAACCTGCATGAAACACACACAACCACACACAGACATACAAAGGCAGTGAAGCTACATTATCAAACAGTCATTGCTTGGACTAAGCAGATGAAACAGAAAGCTTGGACTTAGAAATAAGGAGGTGTTTTAGTAACACAGCCTAACGTCTTTAAGCTTAACTGTTACTAAACACAAGGTCCGCCAGAAAAAAAATACAAATAAATAGCAAAACTCTCCTCTCGCAACTGGTGTCTAACATCTGATTGAATAGTTTGATTACTCTCCAAAGGATTAGGCTCGAAGAGAAAGACATTTTTTTTATTCCCAGCCAGCTGAGTAGTGAAAGCTCCACTGGCTGGATCTCACCAGCAACTACTTTTAAGGCAGCATCTACAATTCTCACTGTTATAAAATACAGTTATGTGTCATACGGGGTTCTGAAGGGTACAGCAAAAAGGACTAACAGCACCATCGTCCAGCCCCTCGAACCCTCAACTGTGATCTGCACCGCAAAACGTCTGCAAAACCTGACACGTAAAGGCTAGAATACAGTCTATTAAAAAGCAACAAGCCTGCCTCCTCAGTTCACACTGGGCTTTAAGAGGTTTCTACACAGTTAAAATGCCTCACATTCAACACAGATAAAGCTAGAAAAGTCATGTCCATCCATTATGGTGTTTCAGAATGCTAAGAATTTCTATTAAAGGGAGAAAATACCTTACAATTGAAGGGATAATCCACATGTTTCTGCATCATCAAGAAATGGGTCTTTATAATTATTAAACTCATGAGCATCTGTCCACTTTGGCCGCGAAGCACTGCATCCACGGTGGGTGGGATTAAATTAGAGGGAGAAGCAACAGCATCTGGGCCAAGTTCTGGATAACGACACTTACATATCTGCTAATAGCCTACAAAAATCTCCATCTGTACATGTCACAAAATCAAAGAAATTTACCTCACGTCACCCTAAATATATTCTTACTTGCTTTAGAAAAAAAAACTCAAAATCAGATTAATTGAGATTAGATGCAACATTTTTTTTCCAGTCCGAAATGGACCTTGAACTGTCGTGCAGTGCACCACAGTGGGTGTGAGCAGGACAGTATGAGGGATCTTTCTAGAAGAGCGACTGGGCTAGTCTTTGGTATTTAGCTGTGCAATAACCAGAGTCTAATGTGAACCAGAGGATTAGGGTGTTAAAGCACTGGTCACATGATTGTACACATGCATATCATTTCGCTGCTGTCGTCAAAGAACATATTTACTGCAATAATGCAAATCGCAATCAAATTCAAGGTTAGCGTGGTCGTTTTTTAATTTATCTTGACCTCCGTGACCTTGAAACCTGTGATCAATCCCACAAATCTACACGTCAGCGAGGAAATAGCGAACGCCGTTTTCCTCTTCCCTGAAAATGATGCAGATATATCATTCTTCTCAGACAACAACTCGAGAAACCAAAGAAAGAAGGAAAAAAGGACAGAAGGGAGGCAGAAAGAAAGAAAGATAGAAGCAAGCATAAAAAAGTTCTACAAGTAAATACAGGAGGGAGAGATAGCGAGCCCACCCCAGTTCTATTTGTCCCCAAAACCATGAGCAGGGTATGTTTGTGTCAGTTTCAGTTCAGGTATGAATTCCATTCACAGGTTTTTGAGGTGTCAAGTCTGGCTTAGCAGCCGTATGAGGTATGTAGTGTAACTCCCCTTGAGAGGGAGTCTGATGAGGTATTCTGGAAAACAGTCATGAGACTTGTGCATTCTTCAGGTATGAATCCTTTCTTGTTTCCCTTTCATTTAACAGTGAGTCCTGGTAGTTGTCACTTCCTGAGAGAAAGATGCCCTCCAGAGCAGAGGGGGCCGGTAAGAGGTCTGAGAACTATGCGTTGAGAATGACGCCGTCAGATCGCGATCAGCTCTGTGGCTGCTGCTGGAGGAAGGATGCACAAACAAAATGAGCTAGAAAACAACTCAAATCTGATTGTGTAGCAAGGGAGCTAAGAAGGCCTCGGTGCTACTGCTCTGTAACAAAGACAGGAGCCGGGTGGAGACATGAGCTAAGGGTCTGCGAGGCTTGCGAGTTGCTGTTCCCCCAGCTTAGTGCACCCTTTGTTTAGGGACAGCTTGTGCGGACCTGTGAGAGGTTAGATTAAGGGTTTGCACTTTCAGCCTTTCTGCAACTGATTTCACGTAATCTGAACTGAGGGCGGAGTTATAAAATGAGGTATTTAATGTGCTGATCTACAGCATCTGATCATTCACCAGTTTGAATTCTGCAAAGGGGGCAACAGCATGTTAAAGAAACGTGAGCAGGCCAGCTTGGGGGCCTGTCACTGCGAGGTGGCTGCTATGTACAAGAGGTTCCACTGGTGAGAGTAACCCGACTTCCCCTGATTGCAACTAGGTCAAAAAGAATACAAAAATAAAGTTGATTCAGGTTAAATATACTACAGCTCCTGAGGTAAAGACACCACTGCAGGTTACTTGATTTGAGGTATGTTAAAAGGAAAAACTAAAAACAAAATCATTCTAAAACACAAAATCAAAAAGACAACAAAATGGCAACAAACAAACAAAATGTTCTAAGATAAAACTTTTCAAGTTCAGTTGTGACTACACCTGTCAGTGGGTTTTGGCTGAGCTGATTGTGTTTAGCATGTACATTAGGATTAACACGTGTGTGCGTGGATTGTGTCTGTGTGTGTGTGGGGATCGTGTCTGTGTGTGTATGTGTGTGAGTGTGTGTGTGTGTGTGTGTGTTGAGTAAAATGCATAGCTGTGCGTTCGGGCACATGTTGTCATATAATATTCTCAGGCTCTGTGTTCATGATTGGACAGCCAAGACGTTGACAGGGTTGATGAGGTATTTGTTGTGCAACAGTTTGTTAATCTTATTGGTTTCTCATTGTACTGTATATTCATGCGGGGTCTCCCAGTGGAAGAGAGGCCTGGGGAGCAGGTACAAAGGGAAGCTGGAGTCAAGGTGACCCGTTGGGGACCAGCTCGGCCGAGCCAGGACCCTTGGAGGAGGAGGAGGAGGACGTTGGACTGAGGGTCTGAGCCGGGGGAGCAGAGAAGCCAAAGCTAGTGCTGGTTCCAGCAGAGGAGGCTGAAGCAGCGGCAGCCGACACAGCAGGCCCCGGGGCCCCTGCAGACTTGTGGGCAAACAGGGTTCCTATCGGGGAGGAGGGTATAGGAGACGTCATTACATTAAGATCAAATTTAGGTAACTTTTTTCAGTACCAAAAGTTCACTTGACATAATATATGACAGATGGTGCAGGTTATACATCCTAATAACACATTAAAGCTTGGTGCAAAATGCCCTCAAAGCCTAAACACCAAAATTCTGCGGGGTCTTCTAATTGTCATTAAAATGTCTTTTAAAAGCGTTCTTTGTCCAGTATTAGTATCAGTAGTAGTAATAGCAGGGTTTCTGCTACGTTCAT